ATTGGATGACGTAATGAACAAAATCGTTGCTATTATTGAGTAAAATAAAAATAAAAAGTATTATGTAATATAATGCAGTGAAAGCAACGTAATAAATAATACGAACTACTATAATGTTGCAGCGATTTTACCAACACAAATGAGAAAACATATTTATCAGCGCTTGTATGCCAATACGTATATTTTTTTATGAGAAATTTTACAATTCAAATTTAGACTAATATTTTTAAAACATAAAAAATTATAAAATTATTATATATGTATAAAAAAAAAAAAAAAAAAAAAAAAAAAAAAAAAAAAAAAAAAAAAATACAAAAAAAAAAATACACATTAATAATCAGTGAAGTTAAAACGATGTTGACGTTTGTTCATTTGTCAATATTTTACATTATATTTTGGACATTTTTATGTTAGATTGCGATGTTATATGTAATCTGCATCAATATGATCGTAAGTGTAGAAAGTTGAAACTTTGTAGGGTATTTATAAGTTATTTAGGCTATTTGTAAAAGTATGTAATGCAAAGCATACATGTATTTTTAATTTTAATGCAGCTACATAATGATTGCGACATTTGATTAAAAATTTATGTACTTAAATGTCTTATCGTTTCTATATTTACATAAGTATTAATAAACATTAATTATGTTTTTTACAATTTATTATGAAATTTGTGCATAAAAATAATATTTTGTATATAAGAATGATAAATAAATTGCACTCAACGAGTAGTTGGACTTTGTAGGCAACAATAACCGACATTACATTATTTCATTAAAATGACTTTTGTCATCATCTAATTCAATAGCCATCGCTTTCTCATTAATTACGTATTTTTTCTTAAAAACTGTAGCTCGGCTGATTAATAATACATTACTCGAAATCTGCAAATGTCCGTTGATAATGTTAATGCAATTGAACATTGTGTAATGAGCTCGAATAATTTTATAGGATTATCGACTATCCCATCAATAATGATTATTATAACGTTCATAAAGCGAATTGCCATCGAACATTTAAATATTAATCCAATCATTACATTACATATTTCAGAGCGTTTGAGAATGTTTAAAAACTCGGTACACAGCATCGTTTATAATTATTATATGAAAATTAAAAATAAGGTTGATTGGTATTTTCAATGCGTTTGCGAGAAGACTTAACAATAGCTTATTAGCATCGTATTATTTATCAAAAAGTTTTATGCAAAAGGACATTGCGTGCGATGTTTTAAGGTAAGAGTGCGCGCTCGAACGACTCATTGATCTTATGATTTAGCAAAAATTTCCCATCGTTTCTCTAAAAGTGAAAACTATGGGAGAAAGAGGAGCGAGCGAGCAAATAAGAAGCGCATAAGGTAAAATGAAGTATTAAAATGCGCCGGACAGCGCGGGAGGAGCGAGGTATAGAGTGCCGGAGAAATGGAGAAGGAGGATAGACGGAGATAGAGGGATAGATAAATAGAGCGAGAGGGAGTGCGAGCTGTCGGTACAGTTGGCGGTGGGGCAAGGGGGAGGAGCACGAAAGAGTACGTATTGGTCTCGTGCCTCACTCGCTCCTAAGAATTATAGGGGATAGAATATTGCTGCCGTTGTTGCTGCAGTTGGACGTTTGAGTCTGTTGTATGGCGAGAGGGACTCTAATGCGGAGGCGCCCTCTCCTCCGCTTCCCTCCTGCTCAAGCGCGCGCGCGCTCCCTCTCACTCACTCTCTATCTCGCTCTCTCTCTCTCTCTCTCTATCTCGCTCGCTCTCTCTCTCTCTGTCTCTCTCCCTCTCTCTGTCTCTGTCTCTCTCTCTCTCTCTCTCTCACTGTAGTTCGGGATCTTAGTTTATGCTCGCTCTCTCGAGCCTTGGGAGTTTTAAGCCGCCACCGACGCGCCGTCAGAGAAAAACCGAGAAGGCGCTGTAAACGTCGTACGGCATATTCTATCCTCTTCAAGAGTTTTCTCTCCCCAACCGAAACTCTGCTACACTCGAGCAAGCTTCGCCACTTTTTGTTCTCTCCTTGCGCGATGTGCAGCGCTACTACTTTCGTTTTTTCCGTTTAATTTCTTATCTTTCGCGTATCGCGTGTGTACACGTCTATACCCACGTATTCTCTCTTCTTCCCTCCTATTTTACTTTGCTTGTGGTCCGATTGTATGTCCCATGCGACTTGCACTTTGGTTTTTCGCACGCCCCACGCGTTCAGCCTCTTATCTTGTCCACATACTTGCGTACGAAGATAGTTGAACATAGCATATAATGAGAGTCGAGAGACCGCTACGCCACAGCGCAAAAGTACACTTTTGAACACAGTTTAGTGATTATTTACATTTCTTTTCCCGAGTGCTTAATGATCGTGTATTTTGACTGATACTTTGTCCGATCTTTGTCATTTGCTTAATCGTGTCATTTTTTTTTTTTTTTTTTTTTTTTTTTTTTTTGCAACACTTACTAAAAGCATCGTCGAATCTATTTTCTAAGGCAAGATTATCCCTACAAAAAGCACAAACTCATAGACAATTAACGATTTATTCATTTATATTTTACAATCTCTAATATATTGATTTTTTATTTGATAAGTATGGCATTTAGTTGCGATTAGCTTTGCTTGATTAATACTGTGGAATTTGCGACTACTACTTGCTATTTGTCATCTACAAAATAATTACAACAACCAGTCAATATAAATGAACGCAATTAAGAATCTTCACACGTTACGCGTTATAAAATACATAATGATTAATTTTAATCGCACATTCATTCGTATTGACAAATGTTCACAAATGCACCTAATAAATTTCACACTTTTCGAAGAGTGGATATGAGCGAAATGTAATAATATTCTATAAAAACAACCATAATATATATATATATATATATATATATATATATATATAATTCAGAGTAACATCGACAATTTTGGAACGGACCTTTTTGACTGTAAGATTTGATACGAATTTAATCTGTTAATTGGATTAATCAATTTTATAAATAAATAAGAAGCAATGTCTTGTGACGTTGAAAAATACCTGATTTTTATAAATGAAAAACTTTTACTACAATGTGATTGTTAATGTTTTACATTCGTTACGATTTTTAATTTAGTATTTGTTTCATTGATACACGTATGTAAGTATATATATATATATATATATATATATATATATATATACTTGCGCGTATATATGTATGAAAGCATGTATATGTATGAAAAAATAGATTAAGTAAACATTTTTGGGGATTTTAAAATCAGTAAGCTGTGGAAGAACAAAAAATAAAAAAATGGACACAATATATTATTAATAAGATATGCTGAAATGGGAGGGGAGTACATATTTACAAAATTTGCCAATGATACTATCAATTGTAAGAGCAAAATTATGCGTTATCTGCTTTAGTTTTCGCTGAACATTTGTATTGTGAGCTTTGTTTAAGATAGCTTTCCGGAACTTCGGAAAATATATTGTGTGGAAAAGTTGACGATGGCAACGCTCGTATCTTTTCTCTTTTTAAAGTCCCCTCTCTCTGTCCGAAAATAGAAACACGTGCGAAAGCATGGCTAACGACATACCTACTCTGAAGTTTTCAATCTCTGCTACGAAGCTTCGACTCGAGCGCGCTTACACGCATACATACGCAATCGTGGATGCACACGTATGTGCGCATACACGCGCGCGTGCACGCATTCTCCCTTGCTCTCTCTCTCTCTCTCTCTCTATCGCTTTCTCTCACTCTCTTTGCCCATCATTCTCTTCGTACATATAACTAACATCTCAGCCACATATTCACAAAGTGAATAGAATTAATTCGGCTATTTCGGAAAGTATTCTCTTAACTTACGTTACGCGTTTATGATATTTTACATTGTGGTTCTGAAAAGGGAGTGCTATCGATTAACACAAAATCACGTTCAAAGATAAGCTATATGCCATAATAATTGAAAGCTATGACTTCCAGATCGTTTATAGTTGCTTAATAGTTGTTGCCCTTCATTTATAATTTTGTTTGAATATTTGTAAGAGAAATTTATATAATGATTATTAAATGTGCAACATTCGATTTATTTTATTTTTAAGAGTTATGTTTAATTTATGTAAATTTAGTATTTTTATATTTAAAACGGAATTTGTACTAAGAAATTTTATAAATAGATTATATGGAAGATTTAATGCATATAACTTTCAACCCTTTTAGTTACATTCGACAAGTTTACAAATGCAAAACGAAATTCGATTCGATTTGTTGTTAATACGCTATTGTAAATCTTACGTTTCATAAATAAAGCGCGTTAATTGAATTCGTTCAAGCCATTTTTTATTAGTTTAAGAATGATCATTGTTAATGAAAGAGTTAAAAGTTTTAGCAAAAGAGAAACGAACGGAGAATCAAATTGGTCAAAAATATTTTAAAAATAGCATGTTTAAAAGCGCGTCAAGTGTATACAATAATCATTTGTATAAATCATTAAAGCTCCTGTTGTCACGATACGCTTGTGATAAGCAGGTGAGTAAAAACTGTAAGATGGACATAAAATCCATAAAAGCCGGAGTCAACTTGTCTAAGCAATAGATAGATAGATATATATATATATATATATATATATATATATATAGAGAGAGAGAGAGAGAGAGAGAGAGGCGCGCGCGCGTGTGTGCATGTGTTCGTGAAGAGAGAGTGAGGGAGCGAGTGAGGGAGTGAAGGGGGGGGGGATCCTAGGCGACCGCAGCATCCGAAGCCGCAGCTCGGCTACGCGGGCGCAAACAGCGAACAGGAGGGAAGAGCTCACCTTAAAAAGCTAGCAATCGGCGTTCAGCAATAAACCGTGACCAGAGCGCGCACTCGCGAAAATCTGAACGACCCCATCCCGCCGACGCACCTGGACCACGCACGCAGCTTAAGATTATAACGAAGCCGGCGCTCGCGGAATGCGGCGGCCTCGGCGGTAAAACTCGAAAGTGTCCCTCTCTCTCTCTCTCTCTCTCTCTCTCTCTCTCTGTCTCTCTCTCTGTCTGTCTCTTAGTCAGTCAGTCTGTGCGCCGCAGTGTGCGTGCGTGCGTGCGTGCGTGTGTCGGTTGGGTCGAGAGCTCGGAGCGTCGGGCGCTCGGAGCACTGGCAGTGCCTCGCCGAGATTCGTGCGGACACGAGTGTAAGCATAAGCCTTGGACGCGCGCGCGGGGCTTTAGCCGCCGCCTGGCCGCTGAGAGGACGCGCGCTTCGACCTCCCACACGCCTTCCCCCCGTGACGAGGAGCCGAGGATGAAGTGGCCGGGGATGCTGATCGTCGTCGCGGCGATCGCCAGCTGTACGAGCGCCGAGCCCGACCCCTCGATCGAGCTCAACCGGATATCCAAGCTGAGGGACGAGGACAAGTGCTACGATAACAGTGCGAAGCCGCAGGTGAGGATACGAGCCTTACGGCTTCCTCGGACACGCGCACCCGGGCCCACCACTAGCCACAGTCCCGACGGTTGCAATTCCCCTGCGTCCTTCCCGGCGGCCGTAGACGCGCACTCTGCCTGCGCTTGTAATTCTTAACTTTGAGAGATTTGCCAGGATATCGCTCGAACGCCGGCCTCGTCGCTAGGGAAATGAGCCGAGACAATGGGAAAAACGTGAAAAACCGAAGCCCGAGATGAGAAGATGGGAGGAGTTTATGAGTTAACCAATGGTCCAATCATCAAACTTAAGTGCATCGTGAATGACGTTTAGAGATTGTTTATTTACAGCCATTACTTTTCGTAAATCTTTACGAAACTTAATGAAACATACTACTTTATGCTCCCAGTTTCTTTTTTTTTTTTTTTTTTATAATAATCACTTTCCATTTGGTTAAACTAAAATCAGATCGGCAATTGATTTCAAGCTGTAAGAAATTGATTTCCCATGATTTTTAATAGCGCGTCTGCCTGTCAAGGAGAATTTGTCGCGTTTACTTATTTATGAAGCTAATGGGACGCCGTGCGCGTACGTCGTGAAATTAACCGTACTCTGTTATAATTTTATTTTATGAATTTGAATCAAAACAAATGCATATTCTCACTTTATCTGGCCATTATTACGAATGTGAATGTGCGGCAAAATAAATGAGACACGAGTATACGATTGTGATATTAGCTAAGGAACGAACGCTTCGACTATGTTTCTTCTTTTTACGCAACATCGTTTCTCAAATTTATTTATGAGAATTTTTGAAGATATTGACAAATAAAATGAAGATGTTTTTAAAGTGAGCGCTGCTCGATATTAATGAAATTCACCAGGTTTCTTTGAAACTCTAAAATTCTTTATTCTGATAGTATTTGTAAAAAAAATTATACGGCAATTGAATGAAATATTCGATATAATATTATCGTGTTTTTATTCATTTAAATAAAGTAGTCTTAAACAATTTGAAATTTTTCGTAAAGTTTGTTGCTGTTTTTTTTTTTTTTTTTTTTTTTTTTTTTTAAATTTTTTGAAACATTGACAGATGAGAAATAACTAATTCGGTGCTATTTCTGTACAAGAAATGCCATTCTATGATTTTATCATTTTTTCCTCCCTTTCTTCTTCTTTTTTTTCTTCCTTTTTCTTGTTCTCATCGGTTATTACAATGTCTGCTGATATTGGACAAATAAACCATACGAGTATAAAGATTCGTGTTCTCGGTGTATGGGAGTGAGTGCGCGGGCGCGCGCGAGGGTGTGGGAAAGCGTGTAATAAGATCGTAATGTAAGCTCTGCTATGTGGACCGTTTAATGCACTCAGCGAATTTTATTTCTGCTGGATGTAAAATTCTTTGGGAAAACACGAGGTTAGAGGACAAGCAGGAAAAAGAGCAACTATATGTTTAATTTTAATTTAATAAATCTCCGCTTTCTTAGCTTTATTTAATTTTTATACATTATGGGGCTGTCCGTGAGTTTTCTGTGCCTCGTTTTGGGTTATCGAATCGGGTTCGGTGCCGTTTGAACTTTCGTTGATAAATACGAATTGATAAGGGCGATTTCTTAAATGTGTATCTTCGTATATATTGGTAATATCGTGTGCCGTTCAAAAAAAAAAAAAAAAAAAAAAAAAAAAAAAAAAAAAAAAAAAAAAATAGTCACGCAAGAGGCGATGAGATGATTTCGATTATTTTTTTAATAGAAATGTGTTTATTTGGGAAAACGTTGGTTTTTATGTGCTCGCGACGTTTCGCTACTACTCTTACCTAACCAAACTGAGAAAAACATATTTTTTAATAAATAACTAAATGAATTTGAGAAATTCAATTACAAGCAATGGCGAATGTAATTGTAACGTGATTAACTTGAATTTATTGCTCAAGTATACGTTAATATTTCATTTAGATTGAATAATAAAGCGCATTGTATGAATATGCCATTAATAATAAAAATACTTTATTATTAACAATTAATGTTAATATTAAAATCGAACGTTCATACCAATTAATCTGAATATCTGAATTCAATTTAAATCATTATTTATTATTAAGATCCTTATGTGCATATCAACTATGGGATTTGCTTTTGTTAAGTTAGCTCGAAGCTATAATATAGCTTTAATATATTAAAAAAAGTCAAATTTACCATGATAAAATTAAAATTATGCCCAATAAAAACAATCGAGTGTCATTGTAAAAACATAACTGTAAATAGCTTATCGGAATCTGCTTTTCAGTCTTATGATAAAATATTCGGCGAACCGGGCGAGAGACCAGAATTTTTTAGGCTAGTCGATAACTTATGAATTTTCAATAAATATCCCTTATTCACGAATCTCTACAATAAAAAAAAAGTCCTTTCACAGCGCAGGGGCGTCATTACAATAATGCGATTTCAATTCGGTTTTTTTTAAAATTATAATAGTGAAAAATAGACGTCGGACTGTTACAGCGGTGTATACCGCCGTTCGAGAACGCCGCCTTCAACGTCGTCATCGAGGCAACGAATACCTGCGGCCAAGATGGCCGTGGCACGCCCTTCTGTAAGCAGACCGGGAAGTCGAGTATCCACAGGAAGTCCTGCGACGTCTGTTACGAGGGTGACCATACAGCCTCCTTCCTTACGGATCACGATAACAACGAAAATGCCACCTGGTGGCAATCGGAGACTATGTTCGAAAGTATACAGTATCCTAACCAAGTCAACCTTACCCTGAACCTTGGTAAGTTTTTCAACGGATGTTTTGTCAACGGAAAAAAGCTATTTAGATATTTATATAATGGCCGATGACAATTTCGCAGAGAGTTTGGCTATTGAGGGAAGCGCGAGTCATTCAGTATTTGAGTGTTGGGTTAAGTTATACTGGGTTATTCCTATCTAGAAGATCAATTCCATTTCATGCAACATTTATTACAGTTATTACGATTTTATTAAAAATGAATAAAGAAGAAGAAGAAAAAATAATAATAATAAAATATGGTACTTTGTAAGAAAACCAAATAATATCAGCGTAGACTTCTCTTATTTAGACATTTGAAAAATGTTATTAGTTGTCGTAGCTGATGATTCGATTACAAATTATAAATGATAAACGGGAATTGCATAATATCCGAGACTCGAACCATTTGAACGAGTGCCTATTATAATGATTGTAGATCATTACTTAGGTACTTTATCTCTTAAGCTACGACTGTTATTTTTCGGCAAATAAATTTTGTTTACTGAGAAAAGCTCCTTCCTTAAAGCGATGATTGATTACTTTTATGAAAATATATGGAATAATATAACGATCGAATTATGATAAAATTTATCTCAAAAATTACGAATTTTTTTTATATTACTTATAGTTAATTTAGTTATGTAAAATACCACGTACACTTATGTGATTTGTTAATAAATGAGAAGCAAAAAAAAAAAAAAAAAAAAAAAAAAAAAAAAAAAAACTTGCACATCCTGAATTCATAAATGTTAATATTAAGTGATTTATAGTATTTTTCTCGATTTCCATTTCACATTCGCATTACATTCTTCATCTTCAGTTTTCTAAATATAACTTTATCATATTAATAATATCTCGTTTATTTATGCACTCTCGTATGTCTCCATTGAAATTTGTTTCTTGTAAATAAAAAAAGTATTAATCGAACCGATGAGAGATAAAATAATTCGGAATCCAACAAATTTATGACAGGAAATTATAATATTATTCTTCCGTCCTCCCTTTCTTATCAAGCTGTTTGATATTATTTTCCATGAAATAAAAAATTCAACAAATTCAATAGAGCTTTATGGCTTGAGCATTATCTCGTACGAAGATAGCACTAAAACTGTTATATTCGTTTTAAAATGTAATGAAATTGAATTGACGGATATATTTTAAAATTAAATGTAATTGTTTTAAAAATTCGAGGCTCGCAAATAGAAAAATTGTTTTAAATCTCCATCCAGAATAAGGACCACGTAGTGAAAGTTACAGACAAATTTCGTGAAATATTAAATTATGAATTATCTTGTCAGGATGATTACGAGAATGTAGTCGTCATTCATGATAATCGATTGAACGAGGATAGAGGCGATAAGGCCATTCGTTGGCCAAATTCATCTCATATGAAGATGAATTGTTAATAAACTTTGTTCGTTGGTGATTAAGGATGACGGGTGATAATATCAGGAATTTTTCCTTATTTTTACCTATTGAAAGTATCGCGTTCGCTAAATTTCTTGCACACTCGTCTCACAATCGATGCAATATCAATTTCTATTTAAGGTTGTAAGCACAAAACTCTAATGTTGACGCTTAATAGTCACGGAGAGTTCAATGCAGTAAATTGTATTATATACAGTGTATTTGTGTGGGAGGGATAAAATGAATGAAAAGGTTTATAAGGTTTATCCAAATACTTGGCAATCAGAATTAATTATATTTAACTTAATATAAATTGACTTAGGATGTACGGCGATACATACAATAAATGTGTACTATTTTTATTTCATACATACCATTAGCTAATCATGATAATACATTGAGTATTGAATAAGATTTCTTATAAATTATGTAATTGATATTAAAACATTTATTTTATAAAAATATTTATTTTAAATTTTATTAAAAAAAAAAAAAAAAAAAAAAAACTTACTCAAAATTATGAGCCAATAGTTTCTTTATTTATTATCCTTCAGCTGAAAAAGTTAAAATAATTGATAATATTACTCATTTTAAAATATCATTCAAATCAATAATCCAATTATACAGTATATTAAATGATAGTAAATAAAAAATAATTTATCACAATTTAGTTTTTAAATCTTAATTTAACAAAAAAGTATCTTTTATATAACTCTAGTTTTATTTGGTTTTATTTCGTTTAATTGTTGATTATTGAATCGCTGATCGAGTGATCATAAAATTTAACAAATCATGTACGCGCTTTTCTCATTTCTGCAATTAATAATTTTCGTTAATGAATTATTGAATCTAATAGAAGTTAATTTTTTATTTTTAACAACGAATGTAAGAATTATATTGTTTTCGGTTAATTTAATCCAATGTAAAGTTATGGTTTCAGTAAAATTCCACTTTAAAAATATCTAGAGAGCTGAGTATACGTAATTTTAGCGATGTATATTTTTCCCGCAGACACAGCAATATTGCGTGTATTAATGAAAAAATTCTACAATACATGTACCACTGATTCTATAATATATGTAAATAAAAAAAAAAAAGTAAATCTACTACATAATATTATAAGCTTAAATTGCTATTTTGATAAATTCATTTAACCGAATTGGATATTATATAGAAAATTCGTCAATTTCAATAGGGATTAAATAATTCTTACATTAGCATTTCACATATCATAATTAATATATTTAATTAGCTACAATTTATGCACTTGGAACTTGAATAGGTATAGGTAGATGTAAGACCTAACATAGGTTTGCTAATTTTCTGTCCCGCTAGATATTATAAGGACATAATGTCGTTATAATAATGTCGTTCGCTTAAGGCTTTTAAAATATCATAGAAGCTGCTGGTTTTAACAATTTAACCTCTAATTATTTTATTTATATCAAGTTTTGTGCCGTACTTTGCATATAGAATATGTAATGATATTTATTACATTTTTTACTAAACTATAAATAAAAGTGATCAAGTCATATTATTTATTGGTAAATTTATTATTTACATTGAATAATTAGGAGTATATATATTTCATATATATATATATATACATTTAATATATTTAATATATTTAATATGTTAATAAACTATCGTGTAAGCTTAGTAAAATTATTTAGTAAAGTAAAATTAACAAGAAATTTTCAACTATTTCTTTTTTTATAAAGGCAACTATTAATTAATAATTTATAAATAAGTTTTAATTTTTATGTTTTTTTTTTTTTTTTTTTATTACTAATTTATATTCTCTGTATTTATTTAAAGTATAGTATCTTAATTTGATTTCTTTATGGTTCTGTAATACGCGTCAAGTCTCAGAAGAAATAAAATTTGTTCCAGCAGTAAACATTCATTTACTATTCGTCTATTTTAGTAGCAAAACTCTTCACATTATATTTGAATTTTAACTTAGTAAAAATAGAATTTACTAGGTAACAGAATAAAATAAAAATATATAAAATAATATTAAATACTTAAATATATTTTTTTTCTTTTCTTTTTCTTTCGAAGATGTTATATTTAGAAATATACTCATCGTCAAAAACATATTTAGAAAATAAGATAACTAGAAGCATATCATATTTTCAGTTCTGAAATTTGACTTAATACAAGTATTTTATACGTTTAAAAAAAAAAAAAATTATGTATTTTTAAAGTACTTATATGAAATTGAGGAAAAATATCTCGTTATAAGCAATTAAAATTTAGTTTAAATTCACAATTATTATCATGTGTAATTAATTTTATCTGTTATTTCCAATGATCCTTATTTATAAGATCATATTTAAATTATAACTAGGAAAATTTTTACTTTGCCAAGTAAATTTGATTTTGTTGTATAGTATTTTCAATTCTAAAGTAAAATATAATTGTATTATATGAAATTATATCAAAATTAAAGTATAATTGATATATTATTATTATTACAGTACTCTTAAACACTATTAAGGAAGTTATTCGATTTGAAATTTTTAAAAAATAATTATAAGCAAATACGTAATTTCAGGATATATTATTAATTATAGCTCGGAACATAAACTATCGTTTAAAATAATTTGTACGACATAATTATATAGTATAATTATATTTACTAAATTTAAAAAGTTTGAAACTTTTGTTTCATAATATTTATCTTATCATAATCAATTGACGAATGGAAATATTTCGAAGAAAATTTGTAAAAATCACAATTTTTATGTATATAATATAATTTGATTTGAGTTTATTTAATAGTCTCTAATGGATAGTAATAACGAAATGTAATCGATAAATTAAATTGTAATGAAATTAGCATTTCTAAAAGTAATTATTTCTTTAATTTTTTATATTTTACATTAATTTAAATTGTAGAATTGTATTTTTTTTTTATTTTTGGATCGAAATCGGCTTTCGAAAATACGCATATTTCACGTTTTTTTTCCACGCGTACGAAATTAAGATACGTAAATTATGTAATATGATTACATTTATTAATGATTTATTAATGATCTATTTTTATTAATACGACAGACGGTAGAGTTAGTGAAATAAATACCGAAAAATTGCAGTCCAAAATTCATTATACATACAAGAAGAAGAACTCGATTGCTAATAAAGAGATTTTTAACTTATTAATATTTACAATCATAAAAATAAATTGGTTTCACTGATTGATGCATTCCCCTTCTAACAAGATGCATAATCGAAAAGACATACTCGGACACGGTAATAAAATAAAAAACCTTAAAGAATAAAAAAAACACATAAGAATGAAAGTACACGATGCCTCATAAGATGTATATTAATAGCATTCGCGTGTGTTTATATATATATATATATATATATATATATATATATATATGATATGATATGATATGATATGATATGATATATACATACAATGAGTACAATAGGAATTAAAAAATTCATTGCACGTGTTGGAAAATGTGATTGCAAAAATCATGGCAGACCATTCGGCTAAATATGCAAAATAATGTGATCGACATCGCGCCTGACAATATGGTCGGCCGACTGGAGTCTCGCGCACATCGCGTCAAGGAAGCTGTGGAGTGTTTTTCCTTCGGAGAGACGCGACTTTTAAAGACGCAATTCGGAAACGCGAAGCCTGTGCCGGCTGCGTGCCACATGGCCCATTCATGAAAGGTTGACGCCTCTGAGTTCGGCTTTTACGCTGAATCCATTGGCGTAGCCAGGAGGGCTGTCGCCGATTTAGACATTTGGAAGCAGCAATTTCGGATATAGAATGTTTGCGTAACTTGGCAATATGAATTTAATGGTGGCTGGGCGATAGGGGAGGGGAGTCGCGTTCACGGCCCCAAGCTATACAGGCCTACATAATGCTCACCTTTACTTACTCCCTGGGACAATTAAAAAAAAATTTTAATTCTAAATTCTACTTATGCTTCATTCTTCCTGATTCTGAGGTAAATTTTTCTTATTTATTTTTTTAATTTTATCATATCGCAATAGCATCTTTTATTGCATCTAGCTTCAAGTAATATTAGCAATACACGCGGATGAATGGAGTTGATGATAATTAATATTGCAATTGTGATTAATGATATCGTTGAAAAATTCTTATACAATAATGTATTGTCGATGCTAGTGTAACAAGTATAATAATCGATTTATTTATTTTAAACGGATCTTGTTAAAGCTTATCTCGTTAAAGTAATCATTTGCCCTTAAACCCTTTGCCCGGCATTAGTTATTGGCTTTGTGAATCGTCAATGTGCTATATATTTCTCAAGTACTTATGACAATTCGTCTTAATTAATGTACATACGACGACTTATTTAATTTAAACATGACATGTACAATTGATTCGCCTTAACTCGCAGCCTCGCAGCTTTAAATTGTATTCTAATGTCTGTTGGTTCGAATTGGATTATAATGTTCGAATTTATAATTAAAGTTCGACAGCTACTAAAGTACTTTCTTTTTCATTTATTGAAACACAATCAGCCCGTTAATATAATTCATCGTTAGATTTACAATGATAATATGCCGTATTAAGTGCTGCAAGATAATTTATTACAAAGTTTATGTCATGAGCGTATGCGCATGGAAATTGCAGCTATCAAACAATGACATCTAAATGAAACCGTAGATTTAAATTTGTCTTCGATCAAACTACTATTTAAATCTGAATTTATAATCTATATTACATACAACAAATATTTATAATGCATATAGGTATAATGTGAAATTTATAAGTTTTGAAAAGTGTCTATGTTATTTGTCGCTTAACGATATTTGTGGCTTAACGATTGATAATAAAATACAGTAACGCTTACACAGATTTCTCGTTTATTCAATTGAAATACGCTATTAAGCGAATATTACAGAACTGTAAAAAATTCAATAAAAATGCCGTAAAGATAAACATTGATGCGATGTGATAGCATGTTTTTTTGCATTCATTGTAGGTAAAACTTTCGACATAACCTACGTACGAGTTCTTTTCGAGTCACCCCGGCCCGAGAGTTGGGGCATCTACAAGCGGAAGAACGAGAAGTCTCAATGGGAACCCTATCAATTCTATTCGGCCACGTGTCGTGACACATACGGCTTACCCGAATCCAAGGAGACTGTGCGAGGCGACGACACCCGGGTGCTCTGTAACAGTGAATACTCGGACATCGTGCCCTTGTCCAAAGGTACGGTCGCCTTCTCAACGCTCGAGGGCAGACCATCCGCCTACTACTTTGAAACGAACACGGAGCTCCAGGTTGGTTTTCCCGGCTCATCTCAGTGGTGTGCGTTACTGCGAGAATAATGGCATCGTTGAGTGCGAAAGCAACGTTTTCGCGGGAAATTCGTTCACTTTATTTATCGTCACGTGCCCACCTACATAAGCTTATTCAATAATCGACAAGAGAATTTTATTTAGATAATACGATATCGTGTGCACCAAAAATTGTCAAGTTGGAAAGATTGCTTTCAATTAATATTGTGAAGTAATTTTTTGCATTAACGATGATGAATGAAAGGAAATTATGATTGTAAAATTTACAATTAACAATCGAAATTATTTATATTAAATTTTTAATAAAAAAGTTTTAATATTTAATTCAAGATTATATCATTGTATATATAAACATTTTAAAAGCCTCTAATATTAATGATTGAATGTGATATATTACAAATACATTTACATATATATTTTCATTATTAATATTATCGAATGATTACTTCACTTATTATTAAGCGATTCTAACATGTAATGTTTATTCTTGTACAGCCATTACCAATTAGATCGATAACCAAGCATTCGAGTATTATTGCCAAATTGTCGGCATTCTACATTATTTTCGGTTATTACAGATTTCGAATCGCGTTCCCCTTACAAATACACCGCTCGCTCTTATGTTACGGCGAATCCATTCGCAACGATTGGTTATGCCCTACTTTTTATTACTGGCCAGTTATCTTTTGTATTTCCATTTATGGTTAAATTCTTTGTCTCCCGATGAATATATATATATATATATATATATATATATATACACCGAAAGAAGATGTTGCAAAATTTCAGGACTCGATTGCCCCGAAGCTATTTAAATTTACGACGCTATGTCGCGAATTTCTAAAACTAACGCGCCAAAGCGGACACTTTTATTTATGAGCGCCATTAAAGTCGGAGATGATGTCGCGGTCTTTCCACAGACCCTCGACTGTTCAATTTCCATTACGATAAGTCGCGATAGCAATAATGCTTCCTCCTCCTTCTCCTCCTGCGTCCAGCCCCAGCCGAACCCTCGTATTCAGAATACCCGAGTAGTGGAAAAACAACGTACGGACGATCCAAGCGCAACGCTAATTGGCAAACATTAACCCCACGGTCCATTCGATGATTGTCCTCAGGAATGGGTGCAAGCCACGGATCTGCGAATAACTCTTGACAGATTGAATACGTTCGGGGACGAGGTGTTCGGCGACGACCAGGTACTGCAGTCCTATTACTATGCGATCGCCGATGTTGCGGTCGGCGCTAGATGTGCCTGCAATGGACACGCGGGCGAATGCGTCAACAGTACCAGCGTCGACGGCCGTACCCGCAGAGTTTGCCGGTAAGTGAATAAAAAATCAAAAATCGGGCGAGCATATTGGTAATATTGAGGAGCGATGAGATGTAAATTGGGCCGATTTCTTGTATTTTTACGTACGAGAGGGCCACGAGATGCGGATGTTGTTAAATATTCCGCTCGCTTGAGGCTTCGTTTTATTTAAATGTGCGAGCTGGGATAGTCGGTAATCTTCATCTTTCTCAGCGTCATTTTGTCGTGCTCTTTGTTATTACAATGCATAATGATGCGGTGACCATTCCGATTGGTATTATTTTCAGTTACTTTTCCAAGTATTTTTAGCAATTATAATGTGAAATGAAAATGTTTCAGCCGTAACGAAATAATTAGGGGAGTATTATTATTATTATTCAATTTTTCTTTTCTAACATACTCACTTACCTAATGCGTGATTTGGCTAATGAATTATACTGATTTCAACGATTTTCGACGAATGCATTTCAAATTAAACTTTCATAGAATTGCAAACTAGCAAGGCCTTTAAACATTGTATTTTTACTTCAAGCTTAACGATAAATGTTTTTCTTAATCGTTATTATTTTAAAGGTGTGAACATTTTACGACTGGTCCCGACTGCAATGAATGTTTGCCATTTTACAACGACGCTCCTTGGGGACGCGCCACAACTACTGATGCGCACGAATGCAAGCGTAAGTTTCACATGTAGACATATAACACATCTCTCTCTCTCTCTCTCTCTCTCTCACTCTCTCACACACACACTCTCTCTCTCTCTCTCACTCTCTCACACTCTCTCACTCTCTCTCTCTCTCTCTCTCTCTCTCTCTCTCTCTCTCTCTGTCGCGGAAACACGCGCGCCTACACATATATTAATGTAAAATATCTTATTTGATCTTTATAATTTTGTCCAATACTAATATTCCAAACTATTCTCCTGATATTTCTTTAATGCAATTATTAAAAAGAAAAATATTATATGAAAGCTTTTCATAAAAGAGCGTGCTTATATGCCATATAGTTTCAATAATTGGCACAAAATCATTTCACTTGCTCACTTAATTATTTATCACTTTTTTTAATTTTAAGATGCCTATGTTTAAGAGAATATATCGCTTTTAGTACATTTTTAGAACATAAGAATACAAAAATTATTAATCTTTATAATTAATTATATTACAATATCGATATATAAAGATTTTTAATTCAATTTAATAATACAATTGTTGCATTTTAAGAAATTTCCTTTAAACCCTATTTAATTGAGTAGAATATAATTTGAATGTGATTTATACTGAATAATGATAAAAATTGCAACAGTTTGATGCATTCGATAAATAATTTGTACATATATTGCAATTGCAATTATTATTTGTGAAGGATACGTAAGTCCTTCCGAGGACATCCGAGGACTTCTCTATTTCATTCCGCTTCATTCCCTCCTGAAAATGTACAATTGTTTCCAGCTTAAAAGCGCACGTGACAAGCCCATTTTGTGAAAAGCTACACTAAGCGAAGACCATTGTCCCTTACTCTTATTCTTCTTCTTTTTTTCTCTGTGAATGACAGTGACGCTAAGTATTTCCTAAAATTAAACGAGCCTTTGTTATATATATATATATATATATTTATTTATTTATTTATATATATATATATATATATATCCATATATGTAATTTATAAAATATCTACCATCGTATTGAAAATAGTCTTTTACATTAAATTTTTCATGCAATTTATTAAAATAATAATAATGCCTGAAATATTTTATGTTTTTAAAACGTATTTAAATTATAATTTCTAATAATATATGTATTTTAAAGTTTATTGTTCACAATTACAGGTAATCGGTATATTTACTGTGATATTTATTATTGTTATTATTATAATATAATTAATTTTAATAATGTACGTTGTAAATCATTTGTTTATTTAAGGCTAATAAGGATATAGACTTGGTTTATTATATAAGTTCATAACGCCGATAGATCAAAATATCATATTCGAATTTTCTTTGAAATTTCTTATAATTTTTTAAAACAAACCCTTTTCGAGACATCATTAGGGATCTCGGTTTGCTGAAAAAAAAATGCACGGAATCTCTCTCTTATCGTTGGAACGGTCATCGAAGCCTAAAGAACGACCGACTCGTGCTCACTAACAAAGTACAAAAAGCAATCCCGCTTCCTTTAGCGGCATTCACTCGTTGTAATTCCGCATTAACTGATAGACCTTGAAGAATCTCACGTACGTGTTCTGGATGTTCATCCCTTTATTTTTGCTCTGGATTCTTTTTCTTGAAATTGTAGTAGCGCGAGAATTAGATTGCTGTGGCTCAAATATTAATTTTAAACGTCGTTTTTACTTTTTTCATGCCATTGCAAGCAAACTTTCAATAATTGTAAATTAATTAAGAGATTAGTTATATATATATATATATATATATATATATAGAGAGAGAGAGAGAGAGAGAGAGAGAGTGTGTGTGTGTGTGTGTGTGCAATATTATAATATGTTCGAACAATGTTTATTTATCAAGTTTTATTTACTTATATTTTTGGTTTCACATTCTTAATAGTTTTTGCAAATTTATATTATTATCGAACCGCGGTTAATTAAATTAAATATTGTAAAAATAACAAATGTAGTAATTTTAATATGTAAAGGAATATGAAAAAAAATATGTAGGTAATCTACAAGAATAAGTATCTGATTAGAATTTTAAATCCTAATATAAAATAATATAAATGTTTTCTTATAAAATTTATAATGTAGCTAAAGAAATATCACATTTTTAAATTACAATATTATAAATAAAATATAATTTGGTGCTGTATTTTACGCAGCACACGCGCGCGCGCGCGCGAGCGCGCGTATATATGATTAGACTGTGGAAAATCATGAAAAATGTTTAGCTTATTTTATAGACAACTTTTCTAGATGCGTACCACATTAGTTAAAAATATTTAAAATTAATTATTTTATAAGATAATAATTGGAATTTAATTAAATTTAGCACATCTCAAAATGATCCATCACAATATTACAGATTGATAATTTAAGTAAAATTATAATATGAGTAAACGCTCAGGCGTTACAATTATCATAAATTTCTTTTATTTATTATCTAAAAGATCTATTAGAATTGAAGATACTTTTACCTAACTAATAAATGCCTAATGACGTAATAAATTTGAATAAACATAAATGTGTACATAATAATATATTAAAGATAAATTTCATTATGTGTGTTTTTGTGCATTATGACGCGAATTTGAGGAAAATAATATGATTATAAATTATAATTATTGGTTTTTGTCAATTGCGTTAATTAATGTACTAATGATATTAAAAGAGCGCGAGGGAAAAATACTTAAATATGCAGTGAATTCAAGATTTTAGAATTTTAGAAAAAAAAAACAAATATAATATTGATTTACAATTATTGTAGGATTAGTATTAAAAATTATTGTTATAAACGCTGATAGAGACGTGCCCGGCTTACACAATTGTTCCAACGACAAAACAAAAAACAAAAAAAAAAAAACTAATAAGATAACGAAAAAGAAACGCGTCCTTTCATTCTCGCCTTTTTTTTCTCCCTATACCTTATTGTTCCTCTAAGCCCTTTAAGGGCCTGAATCCGCAGTCTCTCGCAGCAACCGCATCACATAGAGACACACTGGCTTGTATTATAGCCGACCACAAGCTTTTACCTTTTACGCTTTGGACGTAAGTAGTTTATCGAAGTGGGGACATCGACGCTTCGGCGCGGATAATCGCGTCTTCGCAGTTGGAAGCTATGGATCGGTTTAAGGAGGTCGGGCATTTTTAAGTACCTACATGCCACTTGTGGGATCCCTTCTTAATGTTTGTAAATTTGCTTTGTGTATGAAAACGGTAGTGGTTAAATAGTTAAAAGTCTTGTGTTAGTATCATCGTTCTAGTTGTAAGGAAAAAGTATTTACGGCAATGAAGAGATGCGTCGAATTAAGAGTAATCGCATTGCGAAAATATCGTCATTTCTCATGTTGAAAAATCGCTTGAATGTAATTATACCGCGATAAGATTAAATAATTATCCAGCTTTTAAATACTTGCATATCCGTTTATGAAAGATCATTTTATAACGGATCGTAAGGATTTCTTAAAACGTTACAATTTGAAACTGCTAAAGTTAGTGTTTGCATTTTATTTTTATGGATAATTCTTTAACGAGTATTTTGTATTGTATTTAAATGAAAATCTCGAGACAATATTAAAATGCTTTGGAGTAAGATGTTACTTTAAGTGAGAATCGATAATGAAGAATGATTGAACGATTGGTAAAAGTGTACGAAAACGAAGTAGAAGAATGTTAGAAAATTTTACAAGTTTTCTATATAAACCAGAATGTATAATAATAATAATAATTATACCAAGTAAAATTTTAACTAATAAAAGATGTTAATTAGAAATATGTTTTAAAGCATTTAAATTTCGGTTATTCGTTTATATTGGAACTAATAATCGCTTGAACAACGTTTCTAGGACAGATACATAAATCCAACTTTTTCCTTCAAATTATTTCAATATAAATGCATTTGATTTTTATTATAAGATGATTTATTTTATAATTAAAATATGTGAAAATTTAATACCGAATATAGTTGAGAATGAAGTTACTCTTATTGATGTTGCTTTCAAGTAGTATTTCATGCTGTTTTTCTTACCGGAGAGGCCCATTTTTCTCAAGATATAGACCAATTTGTAAGTTTCACAATTTCAAAAAAAAAATCAGTTTATTTTCAATACTTTTATTTATATTCTTATAATTATTTTCAATTCTCATTATGCAAGAATAAATTTTATTTATATATTTATATAGCAGAGGTAATACTGTTATATTAAATTTTAATTTAATATAATATATGAAAATTAATATTAAAATGTATTAATGAAAGTTTTGCCTCGAATATTACTGATATTATGTCAATAATTTCATTTTCCACTAATGATCATATTTTATTAATTGATTGATTACTCTGAACAACATTACAATAATAAGCTCATTGAGAATGATGTTTCTTCATGCATTGGTTGGTGCATAGATGTGAATGAAACGAAATGAGTTTCTGAAATGGACATATATACATATACATATACATATATATATATGTTTTTTTTTTTTTTTTTTTTTTTTTTTTTTAATACATTAATCTATTATCGTATAATTTTCTTTATAGGCTTCCCGACATATTAATGTTATAATAGTAAAGTAAAAACAAAAAATGGAAAAAAGTCTTAATTTCGTTGGAAGGACACCTCATAAGCGTCGACCACATGATTTAGAGGAACATAAAAAATTAATACATCCATAATATTCCTCACGTTCTTCTTACTCTCAGTCAACAACTGGGCGATCCTTTCCTAGTAGCGTTGCCGTCTGACTTTCGGAATAAAAACCTGCTCCTCCCATCGACGTACAAGTCCTGGCATAGACTACCTCTATACTCCATGCATTCTTTTATTTATCGTCCAAGTGTATTTAAATTTATGTGTTTTTTTTTTTGTTTTTTTTTTGTTGTTGTTGAAAGAAATAATTTATTATTAATCTTGTATGGGTATATGATGATTAATTGTTGTTTGTTTTCTTTATTATTTGAAAGAATAGTGCGAGCAAATATACATTTAATAGACATTCTGTTTTTTCAGGCACATCTTATACGTTAGGCATTATCATTATTAAGCAGAGAATGAAATGTTGCGTTTTTCATTTGTTGTGTAGACTATTACAAACAATTCGGAAGGTTGTTTATGTATAAGCGAGGCTAATAACTGCATTCGCGACCTCTATTAATGCAGTCAGTTTTAAAATGTTTAAATGCGCGTTACCTTTGATAAAATGGCCAATAATGTTATTCACCTTGTCGCTTGAAATATCATATTTGACTTTTATGCCTTAGATATTTCTCTACCCGATTGACGATCAATAAACTCTAATTAAAATTAACAAACACTTATACTGCTAGTCAAAATAAATTATTTCTGATTAGATATTGCATTGGTGATCATTAAATCATTAAAAGTTAGTACGCAGCATATAAAGCGCTACTTTTAATTAATTTATAACCAGTTACTATGTATTTTTACGTACTGTTGGAACTTTAAATTGTATGGCTCCATGTAATACAGATGCAAAGCTCTTTTACACAAATGGTCATTTTACACTTATAGCCGACATTTCTATCTATTGTCATAAGTTTAATGAAGCGATAAAAATGCATAGCGGACAATTAATAATAAGCGTCGATATATTTCTTTCAGCGTGCAACTGTAACGGCTATACGGACCGCTGTTATTTCGATAAAGAACTCTATAAAGCAACTGGACATGGCGGTCACTGCTTGGATTGTAGGGATAATCGGGATGGAGCAAATTGCGAGCGTTGCCGCGAGAATTATTACGCCCGGATGGATGATGGCTACTGTATTGCTTGCAACTGCAATGAAATCGGTATTTATAACCGTATATTATTAATAATCCCATATATATTATTATGAAAATGTAGATGGTCTAGTAAGATACTAGAGATCTTATTTTCTCTTATTGTTATATTGGCTTGTTAAATTAGTATTCCTATATTTTGTATGGATAAGTAATTTAAGTGGAAAATACTTGTTGCTTGTAGTGGCAGGTAGAAATGAAATTATTTAAATTAGTTTCCTCGCAGTTTGAATTTTTCTTGTACTCTTGTGGAATATCAAAAGGAATATTTATTATGTCGTTAAACTAGGAAAAAGTGTAGCTTCATTTTTGTAAAACATGGATACTTTTTTTTTTTTTTTTTTTTTTTTTTTTTTTTATATATATATATATAAATAATTATTCAAAAAAATTATCGTTTAAAATACTTTGGAGTTTCTTTATTTATATACAAATATATTTATAGTTATATTGTTCTACCACTTGACATGACAATATTAGCATCGAAAAATGTTCGATGAATAATGTTTTTATTAAAGAAATTATTAGTTTATTATTATAACTTTATGAGTAATTTTTTTGTGTTGTATATTTTAAATATGCGATTTAATAAAAGAAATAATGTCAACAAGAAATAAAATAAATTTTCACTGCAAATCATTAAAAGTGAAATGGATTTGATATGTAATCATCTAGTTAATTTCACATTTACTCATATCTATGGAGGATCTACTTTTACAATTTTTCTAAGATCATAATAATTTGCCATTAATTATGATAAGTTATTAAAACAAAGAAAATATTTTATCTAAGGATTTTTCCTTATTTATTTCTTTAAGATATTACCTCGAATTGAATATTAATATAATAATTTTAATAAAAATAAAGCCAAATATATTAAGCAATGAGATATGATGAAAGAAAAAAATACGTATAAAATACTTAAGAAATAATGGAAAAATTGTATTTTTCATAGCACAGCAATAAATATCAATAATTTGGAAATAGTAGTAAAATTAACTTTTTGAAACAAATTTGAATGATTTTCATGACATGAATTGTTTAAAAGAATTTACATGAAATGTATTTAACTACGCGTAAAAGTATTGGTAAATTAAAAATATTCTTATCACAAATCTCTCGATATAATTATTTCCCAATTGAGTATATTCTTATTAGCTGCCTAAAACTTAAAATTAATAATATTCGTATGTTTTTATTGGCAGGCTCGCGTAGTTTGCAATGCAATTCGGAGGGCAAATGTCAATGTAAACCTGGAGTGACAGGCGATAAGTGCGATAGGTGCGCTTCCAACTTTTTTGATTTTAGCGGCTTTGGCTGCACGTCCTGTGAATGTAACGTGGCCGGATCGTTATCAAATTCACCAAGCTGTGATCCAGTTACCGGAATCTGCACTTGCAAAGATAACGTCGAAGGGAAACGTTGCCGAGAGTAATTACCTACTTTAACATATATTTACATATCATAAGTTTGACATAAGAAGTAAAGTTATTACTTTCGACTCTGTAATAATTCCAATGTTTGTATCGATCAATTATTCGTTTGTATTAATTGATGCACTAAAGTAATTCGAGTACGTCATGGAGTGTTACGGTTAATTTTATAAATTCTTATAAATTTTAAACATCTGGATTGAACAGAAAATCACGATTCGTAGTATTCGTAGAGAATTGCTATATTTTTTTTTCAAGTTTAACAACGATATTTCTCTACATTTTTATACGATGAATTTATACGACGATGATCGATGGCCAATTAAATTTTGCATTCGATATATAAATAACTTGGCTAATTAACAGTACATAACAACAACAATAATGAGAAAAAAGAATAAAGAGCATAAAAAAGCATACGAAATTCAGAAGAAGAAGAAGAAGAAGAAGAAGAAGAAGAAGAAGAGACGGGCAGGACATTTCATGCATCGAATGAACGTATTCGTTGTCCAACTCACATATCATTTTCTCTCCTTTGCCCGTAGATACGTGATCGGCTGCAAATCAAATACAAAATGGGCAAGTCTGTTCAGCAAGTAATGTAATTCAATATTTCATCGCTCGCAGGTGCCGACCAAGCTTCTTCAACCTCGCCGAGGACAACGAGTTCGGATGTACGCCCTGCTTCTGCTACGGCCACTCCTCGCTTTGCCTGACCGCGAGCGGATACTCGCGCGTCGGCATCGAGAGCACCTTCGTGCGTGGTAACGAGAAGTGGTCGGCAAACGTCGCCGGCAATTCCGTCCCAGTCAATTATGACTCTTTCTCCCAGGCTATCTACGCGACGGCCCTCGACCGGGACAACGTCTACTTCGTCGCACCAGGTGAGCTTCGCGGTTCGATGGATTAACTCGTCAAACACGCGTATCGTAATTATATTCCGGACGATCGAATCCCTGTAAAATTAGCTGTACAATTGAAATTGAACGAGGAATTGATCTTACGTGACTGACTCGTGTGCTCGATCACTTTGACAATCTCGAAAGTCTAATGGAGCTTGGAAACTGACAACATTTTCAAAAAGCTCATTGATAATTGTTACTATGCACTTTGATACAGTTTAATCATATAACGATATCAGCTCACCTACACGATGAATCTTTATTAACGGGTCATTAGTGATAATATGATTTATGATATGATATGACAGTAAGGCAGAGAGGATAGCGATAAGGGGAAGCGGATATGGAGGGGATAGTTTAAATTACAACATACATATTGTTGAATTAAAGAGTACGTTCATTTGTTAATGAATAATATTTTGCATTTGTAGAAAGATTCCTGGGCGATCAACGAGCTTCCTACAACCAAGACTTATTGTTTAGTTTGAAAATTAGTGACAATGGCCCGGCACCAACGGCTAGAGACGTTATTCTAGAAGGTGGCAACGGCCAACAAATTATCCAACCTATATTTGGCCAAAGAAATAGCTTGCCCACCGTAAATGTAAGAATGCAGAATATTATTATTATTATTATCGTTGTTATTATTATTATTGTTATTATTATTATTATTATTATTATTATTATTATTATTATTATTATTATTATTATATAATTTACGATTACATATAATTATACTTGCATATAATTATCATTAAAATTTAAGCATAATTTATCGCCACGAATAAGGGAATGCATTAAATATTAAAAAAATAAAAAATTATTTCTAGTCCCAAGTATATACCTTCCGTTTACACGAGCATCCTGATTATGGATGGTTACCTCGCCTATCGTCTCGGGCATTTATTTCCATCTTGGCTAACTTAACGTCCATAAAAATTCGCGGTACCTACACTCACCAAGGTAATTACTCTTTTCTTAATTCTTTTTTTTTTTTCTTCTCCTTTATACCAATAACTTCCACTGCCATTGGCCAAGTCCAGCAATTTACGAATAGCCTCAGCATCCCCCTGCTCGTAAAAGTTCGTTCCATTACTTTTATATTGGCAGCTTATAAGCTTATATAAAATTAACGGAAACTTTTGAAACAATATGGTTTTTAACGAAGCTTCTTGCAATATGTGCATTAAATTTAAAAAAGGACGATCGATCGCTTTTAACTTAATTCACACGGAGATTTTTCCAAGCTGAGACGTATGGAATGAGTACGCGAGGGAAGACGAGCACGGATGTAAAATAATATACTGGAATGCATGATTTAAATTATTAAGTATGAAATAGTTGCAATTCGATTGCGAGTTCCCTCCCTTTCCTCGTTAAAACATTCGCGCAACGACATCTCTATATGCTCACGGTATATAATACAGGCAAGGGATACTTGGACGACGTTAAGCTCGAGACGGCTCATCGAGGTGCAGCCGGTGAACCCGCCGACTGGGTCGAGCATTGCAACTGTCCCCAGGGTTACGTCGGCCAGTTCTGCGAGTCCTGTGCACCCGGTTATCATCATGATCCACCGAACGGAGGACCCTTCGCACTCTGCGTACCCTGCAACTGCAACGGCCACGCGGATATATGCGAGGCCGAAACCGGTGCGTACTTTAACAATTTCTCAACCGTTTCACGACTGTTTATCCATCTCTTTGATCCCGGCAAGGGACAATATTTAACTTGGATAACTCACATCCCTTCATCATGTCGTACAATTGTAATTTTTTTTTCTAATCCAGATTATTTAATAATGCTTCATTTATGGTTCAGGTCAGTGTATATGCCAGCACAATACGGCTGGGAGCAATTGCGAGCATTGTGCTCGCGGTTTCTATGGGCAGCCGTTGAAGGGAACATCCGATGATTGTCAAGCTTGTCCTTGTCCTGATAATGGCCCGTGTATCCTGCTCGGCAATAATCCCGAGCCCATTTGCTCGGAGTGTCCCATTGGCAGAACAGGTGCTCATTACTTAACAACGAACGAACAAATTTTTATTCCTCGCATTCGATTTAATATTGACACCGACGTCCTTTTAATCCTCTATTATTTTCTATCATTCGCTTTCTCAATAGATTTTAAGTGACAAAGAAAAATGATTACGAAGAAAATTACGACTTATTCATACTCCTGTTAGTTTTGCGAATTTCTTATTCTTATTTGTTTTAGAAGAATCATTGAGTTACGGAGTTATCGAATTATTGCGCAAACCTCTTCTTTATTCTCTTAATGACTGATAAAGCCATAATTGCCATTGTATCGTCTTAAATAAAAACATTTATAGCTCATTAGAGTATCAAAACTTCAATGATAAAATACAAAGTGTAATCGTATGATAATATTACAATAATTATAAAATTTATGTTTAATTAATTTATTCTCCCCGTGAATTAGGTCCTCGATGCGAGACTTGCTCAGATGGATATTTCGGAAATCCAGAGAAGGGGATATCCTGCAAAACTTGCGAGTGCAATAATAATATCGACTTGAATGCCGTTCGCAATTGCAATCAAGAAACTGGCGAGTGCTTGAAATGTGTTAATAACACGGCTGGTCAGCATTGCGAAGAATGTTTGCAGGGTAAGTATTTGTGTGGATTAGCATCCACACTATTACGTATCCCTCGTTCAGATTATATAATTTATTAAGGTACAAATTTATTATAAATAATTTTATCGTTATCTTTTTTCTTTTTGTTTTTGCAACAAACGTGTAAATTCAATCGATTCATTTATACAATGTGACATACACACATACATACTATTATTATTATATAAACTTTTAGTCGGTTTAGTCAGCACAAGATAAATTATTATTTTATTAGCACTCTTAATGTTATTATTATTATTATTTATGTATAAAAACTTTTATCGTCTTTATCCGCATAGAAATAATAATTTTTTAACCATTGGCAGGATACTACGGAGACGCTCTATCAGATCAAAAAGAAGATGGCTGCAAACTCTGTCAGTGTAATCAACAAGGCACACAAGAGAGAAGCGATGACGGTGGAATTGCTCCTTGCGATCAACTGACGGGCCATTGTTTCTGCAAACCCCATGTCATCGGTCGCAATTGTGACAAATGCGACGACGGCTATTACAATATCAAGAGTGGAGAGGTGACTGAACACACACGCGCGCGCGCGCGCGCCCTCTTATTTTCTTAAGATTTCGGGAAAGTTTAAGTTTAATTGTAAAATGTAAATTTTTTCAAAATCAAACGAAGTTTTGAGTTCGTACCTTAGACGAAAGACCAAAACAAACGAAAAAAAAAAAAGAATATAAAATAAAAAGAAGAAAAATAAAGGGAAAAGAAAAAAGAGACAGAGGAAGATACGAATTTGAAATCATTTTAAATAATTGCATCCATTATGATTTATTCGCTACATATGAGCGCTTCTAAGCTAATGTATAAAAATATAAATGAATTCTATATTTTATCTTATTAAGCAAACGAAAAGGCCCAAGAAGTAACGATTGCTTTAATATCGAAAATTTTGAATTTACGAAATTTCAGGGCTGCTCGGCTTGCAACTGCGACCTTGAGGGTTCATTTAACAGGACGTGCGACGCTTTCACCGGTCAGTGCGAGTGTAAAATTGGTGTCACGGGTCAGCGTTGCGACTCCTGTCTGCCTTATCAATTTGGATTTAATAGAGACGGTTGCAAACCCTGTGATTGTGATAAGATTGGCTCGCAAGACTTACAGTGTGATGCTAATGGCCAATGTCCGGTAAATACTTTTTTCTTTAAATATTTTTAATCGTCGCGAAGGAAATTTTCCTTTTCACTAATACACACTCTCGAGTAAAAAGCTTGAAAAATATAGTCGTCATTAGGCACAATATATGATGAATTACTTATTCATAAGTGGAAAGGGAAAATTTTGTTGCTCGTATATGGAGTGTAAAGATCAAACACTTTCACACTTTTTGCCTTCAGTGTCTTACGAACGTCGAGGGTAGGACGTGCAATCGCTGCAAAGAGAACAAGCACAATCGTCAATACGGCTGCATCGACTGTCCACCCTGCTACAATCTTGTTCAGGACGCCGTTAACGAGCATCGTGGAAGGTTAGCCGAGCTCGAGGATACCTTAAAGAAGATCAAAAGTAATCCCACAGTTATCAACGAGGCAGGATTTAAGCAAAAGCTCAAAGATGTGCAAGATAGAGTACGCGAACTTCTCGAACTCGCCAAGTCTGGATCTGGAAGTAAGTTGGTTTTCCATCATATTACTTACTCTACATTATATTAAATACGTATAACTCGAGAAACAAGTCTGTGGACAAAATTTATAATCTATAGAGATTTGTAGATGAAAATATGTGCTTCGAGTACGCAAAGCTCAATATAGCGCAATGATGTATCTTCTTAAATCGCTAATAATAAATGATAAAAGTTAAGTAAAATGTAACGAATACACTTATATTATATACGCGTATTTATATATGATTTTAAAGGGGTATAAGTTCGTTTGTTTTTTCTTTTTTTTTGGGAGGGGGGGGGGTATAGGTATAAAGAAGAATAGAACCAAAAAAAAATGTATTTATCGTATTTGCAGGTGAAAAAAAATCATTGGTAGAACAGCTTGACGAACTTCGTGATCAACTGACGGAAATTAATGAAACATTGCAAAACGTTGATCAAACGGCCATCGATGCCAAACGTACAACATCTCAAGGACGAATGAGCATTGACGAAGCGGAAAAAGTGCTAGATAAAATTCACGAGCAATTAACGGTAAGATCAATGAGAATACACGCCCGACTGATTGAAATACATTTCAATTTAAGTATTGTCTTAACGAAGAGATTCGAATATGTATGCGGGAAAATTAATGGAACGAACTGAGAAATAAACGAATAGGACCGTAGATGCATTTTATATTGATATATTAATGCTCATGATATTTATTCTCAAATTCCGTGTTTTCGTATTTATATCGCATTGATGATGTTATTTATTACGTCATCTACTACTGTTATCACAATTAACCATTGACAATGCGGTGAGTTTAGGAAGCCGAGGATTTCCTAGCAACCGATGGACAACGGGCCTTGGCCGAAGCTAAAAAACGAGCCGAACACGTTGGCCAACAGAATGAACAAATGACGGCCATCGCACAAGAAGCCAGATCCGTCGCAGATTCGTAAATATTTTTATCAATATCTTTCCCGATATTAATGATATCTCAAATATTCGTTAATAGCACGAATATAAAACTTTTTCTGCGCCGTTACTTTTCTGGTTGTTAATAATACGTTGAATCTGCAAATTAATTACAAAAACTTATTACCTTCGAATTTATCAATAAACAGTAGTAGTAACAGTAGTAGTAGTAATAACAAGAACAATAATAATAATAATAATAATAATAATAATAATGATAACAATAATGATGATAATAATGATGATAACAATGATGATAATAATGATGATAATAATGATGATAACAATGATGATAATAATGATGATAATAATGATGATAACAATGATGATAATAATGATGATAATAATGATGATAACAATGATGATAATAATGATGATAATAATGATGATAACAATGATGATAATAATGATGATAATAATGATGATAACAATGATGATAATAATGATGATAATAATGATGATAACAATGATGATAATAATGATGATAATAATGATGATAACAATGATGATAATAATGATGATAACGATAATAATAATAATAATGATAATTATAATAATAATAATAATGATAATTATAATAATGATGATGATAATAGTAATAAGATGAATGTAATGAATGGAATTCTCTGTAGCAATTAATTGTAATAATCTGGCATTTTTCATTAATTTAATATTAATAATTTTCTACGCAGAAACATCAAAGAAGCTAAGAGACTTCAAGTAGTAGCCGAACAAGCTAAAAATACATCTTTAGAAGCCTATAATCTCGCAAAGAAAGCTATCGCTAAATATACAAATATAAGGTAATATCCGTAGATTAATGTTCAAGCGTAATTGTCTATCATGTAACATGCACTTTCACCGTAACGAATGATTTTTTTTGTATTCTTAGCGACGAAATACGCTTCTTGGAAAATAAAGTAATTGCTTTGGAAGATCGTTTCGCCAATGTAAAGAAACTTACTGCTGCGGCTGTTACCAAGGCGGAAGCTGTATCTAAGGAAGCACTGAGTTTGCTGATACTTGGTATCTCCGTACCAACGGTCAACGTCACCGAATTGCAAAATCACGTGGACAATATCAATACGGAGGTATGATTACAATATAATTTTCAAAATACTAATATTCTCACATAATGTGACAGATTCTATGTAAATTTTGGAATATTTATAAGAAATCGATTAAATCTTAATCGCTCGTTACCTATTGCTATTCTATTCTCGGAGATTAATAATCCATACATGAATATGCCTAGTCGAATAAGCCTTCATTCTAAAATTCCTTTAGGCCGCCAAGATAAAAGAGCATGCCACAACTCTTTTGGAGGAAAATACGGAATTGATACGAGACATCGAGGATAAGGTGAGGAAGAGCGAGGAATTGCTGGAGAAAGCGGAAGACCAACAAACGATGACTGCTGAATTGCTTGCCGAGGTTGACAGCGCCAACAATATCGCGAAAAATGCCGTGAATCGTGGCAATCAAACGCTAAATGAGGCTCAAGACACTTTGAAAAAACTCAGTGGTAATTATACTCGCGGCGATATTCCTTTGCGCATTTTGAATAGTTAAATTTAAAGATAAATACGATAGTTGTCGTTAATCCTTCTTTTACTCGCGCGCTTTCCCGCATTTCTCTATAAAAGTAAATTAGCATTTCTTACTCATCTCGCTATTCTAAAATAAATTGTCTCACTCTCATTTCTCCGTTTCCTCGGTCTTAGTATTTGACGCGGAGGTACAAGAAGCACGCGCCAAGGCTCAAGAAGCTCTTCAGGACGTCGTGACGATCCTCGAGCTGGTTAAGAATGCGACGGCCAAGTCCAAAACCATCCACCTCGTGCTTGATAATTCGGAATTGAATGCTAATCGTGCCCAGGAGATTGCCCAGATCGCCCAGTTGAGTGCCAACAATGCCAGTAACATGGCTAATGAGATTCGACAGGAAGCCAACAAAACTAAGGCCGAGGTGATTAAACTCGGTAACGAGGCCGATAAGCTACATCTCCGGGTTAATACGACCGACTCGATGATCAGAGAGTACGAGGACCTCATCCAGCAAGATGTCGATGTTACGGGACAGGTTGGCTATTGTTATTAATTTTTTATATGTATTAATGTAGATTTTTACGACAATTCGTGACTTAATAATATACGGGAATGCTTGTTTGTTTTGGCAATTCGTGCAATTGTCTGTATTTGAATCAAAGCATTAGATTAGGTGACAGTTTGGCCTTTGTAAATCGACGTTTAAGGAAAGGCTCAAAGTAATTAATTGGCAAATTGTTTGGTTCGTAGGCGAAACGAAAAGTTGGTCAAATAAAATCAAATGTAACAGCAGCATCTCAGCAAGTCTCCAAAGCTCTTGAAGAAATTGCAGAGATCACTCGAGAACTCGACGCCCTACCGGAAATTAGTGAGTATCCTTTGAATGAATGATGGATCGTCCTTTTGAAATGACATAGTACGCGCATTTTAATGGGTGTAAAAATTGTGAAAAGTAAATTGTGAAAAAAAGTTAAAATATAATGTTTGTTGTACTATGAAAAGTTAAAGTTCTTTGTAATATGCGAGTTATTAATGCAATTAAATGCAATATTAATTAAATGCAATTAAAACTCATTTGTGCAATTTGGAGTATTATAATTTGTATTATTGAATTAACTGTCAATATATATATATATATATATATATATATATATATATATATAATTTTTTTTGCTTATTTTTGTATTTTCGAATCTACGCTTTCAAGATCCACCCCTCTTAAATAATAATATAGCAATCTCCACCCACTAGTCGCTACATTCACTAATCGTCTATTATTCCAATCAATGTATGCACAAGGTACTTTGAATATCAGATGCGCACAACAATAAAATGGCCATCAATGCCGCAAGCTCTTCGTATTAAATATTATAAACGTTTCTTTTTGCAGATAATGCGGACTTGGACCGACTGGAGGATCGACTGAGTAAGGCAGAGTCGGATATACGGGTGGCGGATCTCGATCAGCGTATCCGCAGCCTCACCGAGGCCAAAAACCTGCAGACTCAGTGGGTGAAAAATTACGAGGATGAGGTGAGTCGGCTACGTGCTGAGGTGGAAAACATCAACGACATGAGGAAGGTTCTGCCGAGCCAGTGCTACAAAAACGTGCGCCTCGAGCCGTAAAAGGGGCGCGCGCACCTGCCCCGCATCTCGCACTAGTTTTTAGTCTCTCCTGTGCCTCTTCACCTCGACCACGTGCCATTCGATACTTAAGCAATGATAGAGAAGAGAGGGCGGGGGTGGGGGTGTGTAATTAACTCCCGGATGTATGGGATGTTATATGTTGTGTGCAACGTACAGATGTGCTTTTGTATGCGAGAATGAGAATTCGCTTCTCTTCGTCGTATCCTCCCCTCCCCCCCCCCCCTTCACCCCCCCCACGTCCCCTCCCTTTTTCACTTTTTGTTGCAATTATGCTATTCGGGAAAAATACGAAAGCCTATTTTTCGACTTGATCCGACATTTTAAATATTGTATCGTAATTTAGTTTTAGGTGAAGATTTTCTTTCTTTTATTCTAATCACAGTCATTGCAAAATACGGGACTTTATCAATATTTAATCGAACACTTTTGCGGTTTACCGTTTTCAATATATATATATATATATATATATATATATATATATATATATATATATATAAAGAGAAAAGTGAAGGTAAATTGCGTGAGAGCAACGTGAAGGTAAATTGCTTGAGAGAAAATTATTTTCTACGGCAATTTTATATAACACATTGCTTACTACTGCCAGTTTCTTACGTTAAAAGTTGCTCATATTATTGTAAAGTTCAGCTATCCTTTACTTACTGTTACGAATTTCCTTTTAAGATTCAATTTGTCAAGTTATAATTGTTCATTTCTTTAATGCACTTTCATTTAAATTTAAATCAAATCACATGATTAATTATTTATTTTAAATATAAATAAAAACAAAAAAAAACTATCTTCAAAGAGAATATTGTAAATTTTGTTTAATTTTACTCTACGACTTTACGATTTAATTTTGAAGTTATTGAATCTTGAGATAGATGAAATTCGAGTCCATATTAATATATACCGAAGTTGCGAAAACGAGTTACAATAATGAAAAATATTAAATTTAAGAACATATTTAAGGAGCATGCACAGGACCTAGAAAGTATTTCATCCATAATTTAAATTACATCTTTCTCTTCTTAAATGATATACCGACAATTTAGATTATATTTAAATAAATATATATATATATGTTTTTTTTTTTTTTTTAAATTGAAAATATACTGTAGAATCGCATTAAATTAAAATTTATAGATTCATAACAAATTAAATACATCGTTTAGAATCGATATTTAAACATCTCGCGAAAATGTTAAACAGATAAAATAAATTAAAAATCCCCCAATTGTTCTTAATAATGCGAAGGAACATTAAATGTCAGAGTTATTAAAAGAAAAAAACGAATACACGAGAGTCGTCTGTGTTGTATAACATTTTAATACATCATTAAGTACCTATTGATTGTTTTAATTGTGTATATTATATTACCGATTGGATGATTGTTTTATTTAAATGTAAGTTAAAGAATCTTTTTTATGAACTTTCACTGCACAGCTTGCGTTGCGTAAATTTATTAAATGGTGCAACTATTTGCAATACTTTAAGTATCATACCAAAGATCTTCTTTATGTACAATTATGAGAAAAAAAAAGAAAAAAAAGGGCAAAGTTTTTGAGGTTTTTGAATTTTCACTGCATTTCCGTTGGACCAATTAGTTTACTTGAATTGTATACATGAATATAAATCCGATGAATAGTTTAAATTTCAAATTTATTATATGAATGCAAGTGTAAAATATTTCGATTATAAATTATGTGAACAAGTGTATTCGACAATGCACAGATTCAGTTAAAAATTTATAGATTAAAAGCTCCGTTTACTCAGTCTTTTATATGCATTTCAAGCATATCAACCTTTTTTTTAACATTTGTACTTTTATGAGATAATATAATACAGATATTTTATACTAGTTAGTTTAGTACAAAATGTAGAAGAAAACCATAATTTGAAGAATAAAATAATTTGACTAGAAACAAGCGACAAACATTTTTATTTAATGTTTTCCTCAATATCTCTTAGTTCAATAATGTATTACACTCTTTTAATCTTGCAATTATTATTTCCAAAATGTAAAGAAAATGACATAATTCAAAGAATCTTACTTATTTATAATAAACAAAAAATTATCCACATTAGTGTATACAATTTAAAAAGCGTTTGCAGCAAACATTGAATTTTCGATTGTTTATATTAAAAAAAAAAAAAAAAAACAAAAAAAAAAAACGAATAATATAATAAAATGTACAATTACAAGTTTTTATTCAAAATTTTAAAGTGCTGAAATACACCATATGTAGGCATGTATATAAGTACAATAAATAGTACATGTGTTTCTGTATATATTTGCTTAAAATTAAGTTATCATGAAGAAAAATCAGACCCATTTTGTATTGCACTTGTTGAAAATTGAATGTCAACCTTTCTCTTCAATAACGCGTACATAAAGTAACTAGAACTAATAATATAGCAGTCAATACTCCAATAGCTATCAATTTACTGCGATCTAAAACAAATACAAAAGTAAATATCACATGCACCACTCGTAAAACTAATCCTATGAAAAGTTTATCAATCAAGTCTAAATAAATAGCCATTTAACAAGATTTTCTATTTGAGGAAGTATTGCTTATGTGCTAGTACCTAGTAATCGACATATATGACTATAGAATAGAAAAACACTAGATGCAGTTTGATAATAAGTTTATTATTTTACAATCACAAGAACCAAAATCGTTCAATTACTAACGATTACATATATTAATACAATGAATGATGAAATAAACATATATATATATATATATATATATATATATCAATGAGATAATTATATATGAATACGACCAAAGGATGACGTAAAGGTATACTTTAATGAAATAGTTATATATTGATACAATGAAAAAATAAATAAATATACACACATATATATATATATATATATATATATATATCAATGAAATAAATGAATATAATAAAAAGATGAAATAAAAACATAATTAATATTGCAAAATGTTTAGGAAGCTTTAATTAAAGCTTAAATAATCATAAAGGATTAACAGTTGTTATATGTTTTTACAAAGAATTTTTTATTGAATAAACAATATTCCACATGTTCAATTTAATTGAAAATATTCTTATAACCTTATGTATTTATTACTTTTTTTTTTTAATTTGCTTTGGAATAATTTATTATTATCGGCAATTTTTTTAATATTCCTAAATTCATCTTTTTAAAATAAATACTTTTAATTTGTACAAATAATCTCTAGCGAGTTATTTTAAATCCATTATTGGCTTAATATTTCAAATTCTATTTAAGTAAGGTAAAGGTAGTTTTTTACCTCTGAACTACTGGAGTCATATCACTTAATAAATAATAATATATTTTATAATAATAAATAAAATAAAATATCAACATTTTTGAAGTACTTTATTATATGGAAATATTTTGAATTTCTGTATTTATATAAAACTTTAATATGTAAACTAATTTTTAACAAAGTTATAATTTCTAATATCATTAACCAAAACATATCTTATTAAATAATTTTAAAGTATCACACAATATAAAATTACGTACATATACATGAAAATAATAAGCTTTAATGAAGTTTATAATTAAGTTTAATGCTTTCTTGAACTTTCTTCGCATAATATAGTAAAATGAAGATTAGCATTTCAACATTTACAAAATAATATCTTTCTTAGTTTTTAATATTTTTATATTAACACTTAAATTAATATACCTAGATGTAACTTCATATTTTATTTCCTCTAACAACCATGTTTACATTAAATATTGTAAGTTTATAGATCTACAGTCCTTATAATCGTTAAACGCATACATAAACATTCCCTTTTGCAAGATCTTCACTCAATAAAACATGTTCCGTACTCTCAATTTGATAACAACAAATTTAGTTACCCATGAAATACAAAAAAAAATCAATCACAAAATACGCTAAAACTCTGAGTCTATGATCATATATACGTTATATTGAATTAATTATTCATTAATTTGAATGACAACTAATTCACTTTGTTGCACAATTTGTTGGAACGGTTTTTCTTCTCTGGATAACTTATTTCAATTTTTAGTTTTGGCATACATTGGACGATATTTGGCATAACAATGCTAAGAAATCTATATGTTTCTATATTAATGCTCTTCGTACTTAAGTTATTTGGTTATTATCAGGCAATACCTTTAACAATAAGTGTTTCGCCCACAAAATTAGTAAGTCTTAAAATTAGACTTATTGTTCTTGGTCTAAGTACATTTCACAAAAAAAATTCACCATTAAATATTATATTATTTGATAGTTAAGTTAATATGGTTTTATAAAGTTATAGATACTACTTTTTTCAGTTACAAAAAATATATAGCAAAACTCATTCAGTTTATAAATTCTTCAAAAGTTTTATTCTCAAAACTATTGATTTTACGCAAACGTAGTATTTTTCCTGAAATTTTTAATTCGTTATTTATCAAAGAAGTTATTAGTTAGTTTCAATAAGTAAATAATTTTAAGAATTTAAGGTCTGAATGATTTTTCTATAACACATTACTTTTAGTTCAAATTAAGTCTAATAGACCTCTCTGATAAAACAGTTAAGTGCTTCGGAAGTCTATACTTTAAAAAGCCCATTACACTTTATAACTTCTCTATGTTTAAATCTAAGGGTAAAATGATTTGTACATTTTCTACGTTAATGTCACTTTCTGATTAAGCCTCTAACTACACTTTGCCAGTTATTTGTCATTCTGAGTTCTGTTAGTCACATTATCGATATTTTTTCATAATTTCTTAGGAGTATTGACTTGACATACAACCTAATAATCTTAATTAACAATATTTATTTGTTCTTATAACATGAAATTCCTAATAGGCGAAACAAATTATGTTTGAAAAGAGAAGATTGGATATAATTAAATTAGGCATTAAAGTCATTCTTCAAATTTTTATTACAGTCTAGTAAATTAATTTACTAATTAATTTATCAATAATTTATCTTAATTATACATTAATCTAGATGCCCTATTATAAACGTAAAACATTATCTTACGCAAATGTTTTGTATGTTTATAAGTTGTATAATATAATATGTAAGTCTTCTAATTTAGTCTTATAAAAGAATTTTATTTTGATAAAAAAAATTGCCAATCAATTCAATGCAATTGAACTGTTTTGGTTCAATCGCATAAAATAAAATAGTTATGGACAGTTGAAGGTTTGAAATGTTTATTAGGAATTTCCTTGTACTCTTTAATATTATTAAAAAATAAAACTATCTGGAATAAAATTACCAAGATGTAAGGCCCATTTGCATCTTTTAGATGCTAATCTTTAGAGCATAAAAAACAGTTGGTTATAGTACTTGATAAGGATGAAAGGGAAGAAGGCTTTGGAGTATAATTAGAGGTATTAGATGTCGAAGTAGTGGGAGCAGGAACATAATTATTATAGTTACCATTACTCATATGGAGAACTTTAGCCATTTTTTTCATAGTAGCGTCTAATTTTGAATCGGTTTCTACTTCCATTTTATTACTAAAATCATCGAGCATTCTGAAATGTGACATAGGACATTATGTAAGGATGCGCATAAGATATTAGATAAAATCTATAATCATAGTCGATACTTACACTTGCTGCTCGTCGAATTCTGAATTTATTTGTTGCGAAACAGTCCTCAAAGAGCCAATATTATCACTCGTAACATCCAGATGCCCGTCGTGCTGTCTCATCATTGAACTCTGATTACAAATTGCATCGTTGAGGAATTGTCGATTGGGACTATCGATTTCATTCTCCAATTTGCTGTACTTTGTTGTTCCATGATTAATTGCTGGCACTCTCGTTGGACTGTTCTCTATTATTGGCTGTGCAAATAATATTGTTAATATGCAGCTAATTAATTGTTTATAATAAGAAATATTACTAAAAGTTGAATATTAGATAAATGTTAAAATTCTAAATATACAAATTTCCTTAAATAACCTTGTGATTGAAAATGTGTATTGTATATTTTGCCCGCAATTCTCTAAACTAAATCAAATTATCGTGCGTTTACATTTTACATTTGCAAGCGAATGAAATTATCAATAACGAATGTATTTCGCTGTATTTCTTCGTACGTCTCATGATTCTTTAATACGAATTAGCATTAGAGATTCATAAGCATTGATTGTACATTGATGCATAAGAATAGTATTTTTATTGTCATTTGCATGCACGTGATATGTGTGTCACGTTAAATGTAAGTTCCTACAAATGAGGAAAGTACATACTCTGTACACACTGTGCTTGGCAATCATTTATAGTTTTTAGTTTTTATGGCGTGGCCAATGATAATATTATTGGTGACGACGTAGTACACGAGATGTCGCTTTACCTATCCTTTTGAAATTAAATGTTAATGTAATTGAATCTTTAGGTGTGGCTAGTATGTCATGTAAGCATCAATGGCCAAAACAAGCTGAGGAAAGTCATCGTGAGAGGTAAGTTTAAGTGGCTTGATAAAAATTTTTCAGTTTTACGTGAATTGTTATGTTGTGATATTTTTAGAACGATCGCAGAAATCGGGAACACCATTTGAATCGAGATTATTGATCAATCAGCCATATTATTCTAACCTCAATCGGTGAAGATTAGTCATGAGCAAGTAGTTGCCGTAATTCAAGAAAAAAAAATATGCATGCTCGTTACGAAGTATGAGACTGAGGAATTTGTGGATACGAATGAGTATAAGCAAGTGAGCGTTATATATATATATATATATATATATATATATATATATAGAGAGAGAGAGAGAGAGAGAGAGAGAGAGAGGGAGAGAGACAGTATTAATTGAAGATTGAAATTCTCAATTATTCAAACTCAAAAGACAAATAATTTTCGAATCTCATTACAATGAATTTTGGTCTTCATTAATCATTTTTAATACAAAATGGCTTCGATCGATTGTAATAAATTATGTGCTGTGATTTTTGTAACGTACAATCTCTTGCTCGCCGTCAGTGCTTACGATTACGATTACTGCAGCTACCCATTGCTCGATCGAGCTGTGCTAAAAGCAACCACTTCTCTGTCGGAAAGGGGTCCGTCCAATGCCAGACTGTACGGGCCTAATGCTTGGACTGCCAGTAGCTCAGACTTTGGTCAATATCTAATTATCGACCTTGGTCAAACTATGAATATTACGGCTATCGCCACTCAGGGAAGGGCTCATTACAATGAATTTGTCATGGAGTATGGTATTAGTTATGGCACAAACGGCCTTGATTATGCTGATTTTAAAGAAACCGATGGCAACATCAAAATGTTCAAGGGCAATAAAGATGGGGATACCGTGAGAATGAATAAATTCGAAGTACCTATAATAGCCCAGTGGATTAGAATAAATCCAACGAGATGGCGCGACAGAATTTCCCTAAGGGTCGAACTTTATGGCTGCGATTATATTTCAAACATACTATCGTTTAATGGAACTTCCCTGGTGAGATGGGACTTGCTCAGAGATCCTTTAGAAACCGACAGACACTCGTTAAGATTCCGTTTTAAGACCAACAACGCGGATGGCGTTATTATGTACTCACGAGGCTCACAAGGGGATTTCTTAGCCTTACAAATACGCGACAATAGAATGCTGCTGAATATTGATCTTGGATCAGGAATCATGACCAGTTTATCAGTTGGCAGCTTATTGGACGACAACATGTGGCACGACGTCGTTTTCTCCAGAAATCGCAAGGACATAGCCTTCTCCGTGGACAGAGTCCTAATTAACGGTCGAGTTAAAGGCGAATTCTATAGACTGGATCTTAATAGAGCCTTTTACATTGGCGGTGTACCTAACAAGCAGGAGGGCCTCGTTGTCAATCAGAACTTCACCGGTTGTATAGAGAATTTATTTTTTAACCAGACCAACATGATCAAAGAGCTGAAAGAATTGGATACGAATGGCGAGAACTGGCGCTACCAAACCATCTATGCCACTTATAGCTGTCCCGAGCCACCCATAGCCACCGTCACCTTTCTCACCTCATCGTCCTATGCCAAACTTAAAGGTTACGAGGGCGTTTCCTCCATGAACATCTCGCTGTCCTTCAGGACATACGAAGACCAAGGCATAATAGTCTATCACGAGTTCACATCATCTGGATATGTGAAGATGCTCCTCGAAGACGGCAAACTCAAAATCGAAATAAAAACGAAAAATGAACTGAAGGCTCTGTTGGACAATTTCGATGAGAGTTTCAACGACGGCAAGTGGCACCAGGTCATCTTAACTATTTCGAAGAACAGTCTGATTTTAAATGTCGATGGACGGCCGATGAAGACGACACGGCAAATGGAGATACTGACGGGCTTTACGTATTACGTTGGCGGATTGCCAGGCAATCAACGCGGTTTCATTGGCTGCATGCGCGTCATACAGATTGACGGGAATTATAAGCTACCGACCGACTGGAAAGACGACGAGTTCTGCTGTAGGAACGAGATAGTCTTCGACGCTTGTCAAATGGTTGACCGTTGCAATCCGAATCCGTGCAAACATGCCGGTAATTGCATGCAAAATTCCGACGAGTTCTTCTGCGACTGCACGAACACCGGCTATTCGGGCGCCGTTTGCCATACGTCATTGAATCCCCTATCCTGCGAGGACTACCGCAAGTCGCCCAACACGATAAACCAGCACGCCGAGATTCGCATTGACGTGGACGGTAGTGGGCCCTTGAGGCCGTTCCCCGTTACCTGTGAATTCTTCGCGGACGGCCACGCGACGACGATATTGCGCCACAGTAACGAGAACACGACGCCCGTCGATGGCTTCGAGGAGCCTGGCAGTTTCATTCAAGACATACAATACGACGCGGACCTCGACCAGATCGAGGCTCTGATCAATCGCTCGCGCAGCTGCCGTCAACGTATCGGCTATTCCTGCAAGCACTCGCGGCTCTTCAACAGTCCCGTCGGTCAGGGCGAAAATTTCCAGCCGAACTCCTGGTGGGTCAGTCGGCACAATCAGAAGATGGACTACTGGGGCGGTGGCTTGCCGGGCTCGCGTAAATGCGAGTGCGGCATCCTCGGCAATTGCGCCAAGCCGGAGCGTTGGTGCAATTGTGACTCGGACCTCGAAGGTTGGCTAGAGGACTCGGGCGACCTCGTCGATAAGGACCATTTGCCGGTAAAGCAATTGCGTTTCGGTGACACGGGCACGGCCCTGGACGAGAAGGAGGGCAAGTACATGCTCGGGCCGCTGATCTGCGAGGGCGACGCGCTAGCGAGTAACGTCGTGACGTTCCGGATCGCGGACGCGACCATAAATTTGCCGACGTTCGACATGGGCCACAGCGGTGACATTTACTTTGAGTTCCGCACGACGGTCGACGACGCCGTTATAATGCACAGCCGAGGGCCAAGCGATTACATCAAGATCTCCATTAACGGCGGCAATCAAATTCATTTTCAATATCAGGCCGGGAGTGGGCCACTAGCCGTTAGCGTCCAGACTTCCACGAGATTGGCCGACAACAATTGGCACAGCGTCTCCGTCGAGAGAAATCGTAAGGAGGCTCGAATCGTCGTCGACGGGGCCTTCAAGAACGAGGTGCGCGAGCCCCCGGGGCCCGTTCGCGCCCTTCAGCTGACCTCGAGCCTCGTCGTGGGCGCAAGCGTCGATCTCCGCGACGGCTACGTCGGCTGCGTGAGGTCCCTACTGCTAAACGGCCAGCTGCAGGACTTGAGGGCGTTCGCGCGCCACGGACTCTACGGTATAAGCGAGGACTGCGTGGGCAGATGCGAGAGCAGCCCTTGCCTTAACAACGGCACCTGCCACGAGCGTTACGACGGCTACTGGTGCGACTGCCGTTGGACGGCGTTCAAGGGGCCGATTTGCGCGGACGAGATTGGCGTGAATTTGCGACAGAACTCGATGATTAGATACGACTTTGCGGGCAGCTGGCGATCGACCATTAGCGAGAAGATTCGCGTCGGCTTCACCACCACCAATCCCAAGGGCTTCTTGATGGGCCTCTCGTCCAACATATCCGGGGAATACATGACGATAATGGTGTCGAACAGCGGTCATCTGCGGATAGTTTTCGATTTTGGATTCGAGCGCCAAGAGGTCATATTCCCGGGCAAGCACTTCGGCCTCGGCCAAT